CCCGTCTACACAGCTGATGATCGGTCTAACCTTAAATGATGACGGATTGGTTGACGCATGATCATCAGGTGATACCAACTTATGTGTTTTAATAAGTGGGTATAGGGCGGGACATGTTGGTCTATCGATTTTAATGTGCGAAATAACCGATGATTTTAAACCCGCAGCCTTTGCCACACTGAGCTATTGATTGTTTAGCTTTCGGTATTGACTTTTATATTCCTTTTCAGAGGATGGGCGATAGAGGGTAGCATCACTAAGATGTTCCTCTGTTATCTCAACATCCAGTTGGCGAGGGATAATTTCGAACTCTCCCCCCTTTATCACTAACAGACAATCTTATTGTTTTCGAGTTTATTAATTCTCTAATTTCCTGCATGCCACATTTTTGTGCGGCTGTAAGGTTAGAGATAAACTTTCTATCGCGGTAGTGATTAAGAGTCTTGAGAATGCCGTCCGAAAACGCGGAATTTTATGTCAGCTCCATCTTTAGGGTCTTGCTGTCTAAAAAGCGTTTTAGGGAAAAGAGATGGTGGTAGCGCGGCCGCCTCTTGATTTTTATCTCTATTTGATGTTTCTTGAGTGGCCTGATATCGGAATCGATCTTGAAGTTCATAAGGTTGCATGCTATCCTACGCAGGAACGTTTTAGAAATGGGGTGTGATGGTGCAAAACTTGGGCCCAATTCTAATAGCGAATGCGCATTCTCAGGTATTGTTATGCCCCCAATCACGGTGACCCTAGATTTTCTTGGTGCATTATCATCCCCACTTTGACCATTATCAGAAGCGTAAGGAATTCGTTTGCGTAAGGTCTACAGACATTTCGTATGTTGTTTGACGATTCTGACCTTTATGGATGTCGTTTAGCGCCCAGTGATTCGAGCCACTGTGCTTTGAATCCTTGGATAGCCCTGCTAGTGCGCTTCCTTTCTTCATCGAAGTTTTTCATCGGAAGTTTTGCTGATAGGAGAACTCGAATGATCCCAAACAAGTCTGGTACTAACTTCACGGCTCCGGAGTGATGGAGATTGACAGGTCTAAGAGAGTCTTGAACTGCAGTTCTGCTTATACTGAACAGAGATTGCTAGCACTGCACTAGCCACTCTATCTTTGGATTTGGAGGTTCGTAACTACAACGAAAAGACATTCTATGAAATTACCCAATTCGGTGCAAAAGTGAAAGAAACCACCACAAAGAAAAAGTTTGAGCCACAAAATAGTGGAAACGCCTTTCTTGAATGAAGAAAAGAAAACTGCCATCGAAAACCAAGCTTCGCTGTACTGAGGTTTCCAAAATTCTCTTAAATAGAAATGTCTTTGATAGCAAAAAGGGTTGCAGCGATTTGAGCCTAATTCCTTCATCATTTGTGAAGAAGAGCCAGTAATGTATGGATGACTGTTACAAACTGCAATCCAGACTTAATCCAAGTCTTTTTAAGCGTGCTAATTAAAGTTTTCGCCAAAAATACTGAGTCTGCAAGATTCGACGATGCCGTCCTCTCAGTATGACGAGCGCAGTAGATGGACTGCAGCTGCGAATCCTAATTCTGAACGTTTTTAACACACCCAATATTAATCGACGCGTTACAAATCAGACCGAAACAGTGTCATTAAAGCGATAATGACCAACATATGTGGTCAGGATAGATCGAGGAACAACAATCACACACGAATCTTTTCTGAAGGAAACCACAGTGGTGACGATGAAAACCACTGCGAGTAAGTGTACTTGTACAATCCCTGGATGAGCTGTGATTAACAGGTACCGGATTTTAAACCGCAGTCCAACATTAAAAAGCACCCTTCAGTTACCGACGTGAGCGAAAAAGCTCTTAGCACGTCGAATGAGTATATGGAAAAACAGCGAGGAGGAAACTCTTTCATATCTGAAAATCTAGTACCCAGTCTCAATTAGAACATTCCGTTCATGTCGTTGGAAAGGCTTAGTTATTTTTCAAAGTAATTTAATAATAATCTCCTTTTAAGGAAAAATTCCGTTGGTTGTAGTAGAGTAAAAATAAGTGAGTACACCGAGGAAACCTACCATTTGAAGGGTCCTTTGCATTGATACGGTGTGCCACGAGTCATCGTCGAAGCGTGCTCTAGGCAATACGTTGAAAATTCGCACCAGGCGAGGTTCAGAGCCAGAAAATTTGGAACTCGCTATCAAGGCACCCTCCTCAAGGTATAACTGCATGTAATTCTGAAATACATTGCGTATTCAGCTTCGATTACTTGGCATAAATTTAATAAACACATATTCCAACTCGTTACTGCCTTACCATGTCAGTGCGTGATCTTGAGTGTCAAACTGTAAAAAGCAGAGAATGTCCTTCGCCCGTAAGTCTTTCAAGCTTAAAGCATTTTAGTACTATCACCTGCATGTTCATAAAAAAGCAGACTAACCCAAGGAATCATCGGCGCTCTGGTAACGACCTAGTCGAACAACATCGCTCTAATTCAATAAAGTCTAGTGAATATCCGTGGTAACCTACGAAAGTTTTTGAAGGAGTACCGCGAGACTTCCAGTGAAAGAGAATCTTGCCCAACAAACCGCCGATTTTTCTCTAACCTTAGCACAATAGTTCAATATTTCCTTCAGTGACAAAGCTAACGTGAGGTTGTCATAGAAAGTTTTATTCCGCTACCGTTTCAGCGCCTTCTCCATCTTCGTAGCCGCGTTAGTCTTCGTCGATGGTCCATAGCCGTTCGTTGTCAAGGCGTAAATGTCGTTGTTGAATTAGCAGAATACCATCACTATGGAGATTGTAGTCGACATCCAAATATTCGAATATATATATATATATATAATTGGGGAACAAATACCACAGTGGTAGTGATGGTGGTTATTACGAACACGGTGCTGGCTCGATCCCTCTCCGGGTTCACCGAACCTCTCATCCCTACGTGGTCTAGAGACTAGTGTCGGACTTGTCCGGGAAAAAACTACTATCTGCAGTGCAGTTGCCAAAGCTTTAGCCTGGCTATTTCAGGATTTCAGTGAGAATATTCTCGACTTCGATCTCGACTCGACCAGCATTCTACGACATCCAAGGTGAAATGAAAATCCTCGAGCAGCAGCCGAAGCCAGCCGTGAAAGCTTGGAAGATCTTAGTGAATGATGAATGCGAGAAAGGGAATCGAATGGAGACGTGCTGCAATTCGCACAGTAGATGTGAAGATGAGTCGTATAAAAGAGGAAAAAAACAATAATAAATACGAATTATTGCCGCACCGTTGTTTTATTTCATTGCGATGTATGGGACGATTGCCTTCAAGACTAGACCTATTTGGAAATAGTTCGCCAATTAAAGCCCATTAGAAATTTCCATTAACATTATCCACTTTAATACCGAGAAATTCGCTTAGACAAGCTTATGGGTTTAACAAAAAATTCAAACTGGAGATTTCGTTAACCTTTTCGGCTCCGGCATAGAATATCATTGCTGAACCGTGTACAGTTTTGAAGGATACAGAAAAGTTCTCCGCTTTTGCTTTCAATATTCCGGCTGAAGTCGCTGAAACATCGTATCCGATCCACTCCTGACCGGAGAATGTCAATTCCGAATCCATATTTTCTGGAAAAAATCAAGCTAAAAATCTACTGAACAAGTATTAACAAAAACAAACATCTTTTTTTATGATAATAATCTTCAGACTTTACAAAAACCTTAGCTAGAAGATGCTGGAATAAATCATTAAGAGTCCTACCTTAGAAATATTAGAACCACTACCAGACGTTGCACCTACTTACTACTTCACCGATTTTGTTACATGCACAAACTCTTGACTTATATAGAAGGAAGTAATTACTGTGGTGAAAAGAAAACTGGATGATCTTCTTCAAGAAACTTCTATTTCACAACGGAGGTGTTATCATACACGTTTATCATTCACCTAAGAATGTCGTTTAAATTGAGAATAGGTATGTCAACTCCGGAAATTCACACCGTATAAATGTATGATGTGGGTTGCAAACGATAATCTTAACCAGAGCAGCACTGATAGGATTTCTCTGTATGATTTCCCAATCAACTGTCTATGACAACAAAGGATATTATTTGTATCATAAGAATGAGGGCTGTCTGCTCCAAAAATCTGAAAAACAACGACATTGAATGGTGGAGTCCGTAGACAATTAGTGATCCATTCTTCAGATGCAAAATTGGATAGTATTCATGACCAACATAGCAGCAAACGAACAACGACATGTGAAGACGACTGCTCCTTATATCATTGACGCAGCAGAAAAACAGCTTTTACTTTCAAGCTTTCCTTGGCATAGCCGGCCGAACACGTTGAATATGAATGTTCAGTAAAATCTCAAAGATGAGGAAAACTTTGTAAACAAAAGATGAAGCATTAGAAGAGAAGGTTTTACCATGGCTGCGTTGGTTTTGCCGTGGACTCACTGAACTCGCATTCTCCAAAGGAAAAAGAGCTTCTTTCAAAAGTACTGATTTCAATATCAATTGCACATTGATTATTCGGCAAAAAAGTGATCGACTGTTTGTGGGATATACTTTGTACGCGCGACGAAAATTTCATCTCTCCGTGGAATGGATCAAACCACATTATCTCTCCCTTACCATCAACTCTCCTTGTTAGGAAATAAAACTTCTTGAAAGGTATTAAGACGTGCTCGAAGCTCTCCTTTAAGAAAGCGGGCACCGCTAGCACCAAGGAAGACGCAACTGCAGTTCATAGAAATTCTCAACCAATTGATAACGTACAAATTCGCTTTCGATTCACAAAAACAACTACAGATGTAAGCCTTGGAAGAAGCCTTGGAAAGAGTACTGAAAATTCTCGTCGGCTCGATGAATGTGTTGCGCTTAGTGTTCTTCTTCAACTCCGTCGACCGTTCTATGATACCACTTGAGCGCGATGAACTGAACACCATGCTGTTTACTCTGAATGTCACTTTGCTCACAAAACACCGACTGATGTTTTTTATACCTGGAGTGCTCCACGCACGCAGGTGGATTGCACTCGATGCGACTATGAAGATTCACATACCACAAGAAGCAAGTGCTCACAGCACTCGAATCACTGCGGCTTTAAAGAAAGCTACTCCGTCGAAAGGTTGACCATTATTAAAAGTCAACTTCGCAGCAACGTTAAATGGTCTTATCAATAAACATAAGTATTTAGTCGAGCTAGAGAGGTTGCGTCCACAATTGGTGTTCTTTTCCACAGTACCTTGGGGTCGGCCAAAAGAGAAAAACTCACCAATCTCACAGTTTTTGCCCTCGTAATCAGTCAAGGCACAGTCACATTTCGGACCCTCGTTCGTGCTGTAACACTGCCCGCCGTTGTGACACACGAATTGTTCGCGACCGCTGAACTGAAAGCCAAGAAGACTACTTTCGTTTCTAGAAACACTTTGTGAAAAGCTACCCGCTGCCATATGAATAGGAGAAATTTGAAAGATTCCTCTCTAAATAATAAGAAACAAGCAAGGTTCCATCTTTTCGTGAGTCACTTCCATTAACCCGTGACTATACCCATATTTCTTTCGAAGTTTCAAGTGTTTTCGATCCGACGATTTTGAAGAATTCTTGGAGGGCAAGAGAGCACAAGTGTTAGGAAGTTTTGCTGTTGATTTCAATCACTGATGTCCCTTCCTGTTCCGATTGCCTATGGGAAGCATAAGCAATTGTCAACTTAAAGGATCGAATAATCGTAGAAAAAATTAGGGCGAAAATATTTTGGAACTGGTACCAAATTCTCAACGTAGAGCACTTTTAATTTTTATTTAGCAAGATTTCTTAATGGCTACTAATTGAGGACGAAAATTTTAGACGTTAATGTATCCCTGCTGTCTATGGCACCTTCTCATTACTGAGTTACGATGGATAGTCTTTATAATTTTGTAGGACGTATTTTTTATTTTGTGTGGTATGGTTTTAAAAAACGCTTATTGCGCAAATGCTTGAAGAGTAAGCTCTTTCTAGCAACTCACACCAGTCGACCTACAGTAATCGTCTTCATTTTGACGAGCACCGTGCGCATCCAGAAGTTGGGGTGAGGTAACACCTTCAAAAAATAATGATATAGTTTAAAAAGTAAGCGAAATAATAATACAGAAACCACGAAAACCTTGTGGGTAGAGACGGTAGACAATATTTCGGATATTAGCGGCCAGATGTCTGGCATATCGACGGAGTGGAGAGCTCATCACTGGAAAAACGTGCGTGTCCTGGAATAAACATGGCAATCGTTCTTGTGAAATGCCAAACACTAGGAATGCCATGCATTGATTTAAATGCAAACGTTCCAAAAAATAATCCGTTTCTTAAGTTTAAAGATATTTAAGCAGACAGTAAGTGCAACTTTCTCATCCTCCAGCTGCTGATATTTGGCGTAATTTCTTCGGCTTCCACACTACTATAAAGCTGTTGACGCATACTGTGGTACGGCAAGATTTGTCAATTTTGCAACCCGAAGTTAGTTTTAGACCTTACAATTTCTCATCGGTTTTGTTGCTTTCACGACAGTCTTTCTTTACTACAATGAATCCGTCAAGATCCAAGATGTTTAGCTGATGCAGAAACTATTTTCCGTGCGCTGACTCCGACTCGATGCGACGACGACGGTACCACATCGAGAGTACCAACAACTGTGGACATCGACGCTGAAGAAGACGAAGACGTCGAAACGTTAGCCGAGTAAAATTGCTTATCAACTTCGTGCCAGCTTATCAATGAAAGAATACACGTAATGATTGGATTTACACCAATTAATCTCTTCAAGTACCCATCGTCGATCGCACGAAAACTTTATACAAGCGTTGATAAAAAATAGGTGAAATATATGCTCCATCTTTGCCCCGACAAGTTAAATTAGGTATAGATTGTTATGATTTTATTATTTTATTTATTCACATCACCCACAAAGTATTGTGCGGATACCAGCAGTTCTTCTTTCGATTCGTTCGGTCTCCCCTGTTATTTTCGACGATCATTGTTTCCAAGAATTTAGTTGCCACTTGAGGACTAAGTTGTCCTCACGAGTGTCTTTGAATTCTGATCAAGTAGATTCACTCTAGAAATACAGGTATAGCCGCGCTAGAGCATTTCCAGGTCCTCACCACAAGCGGTCGCCTGCTTTTTGTGGACCGAAAGAGTTTTCCACGCACTTTAGTTCAGCACCACTTTGCAGACCTCGTGGAAATATAAGGCATAGTTGGTTCGGATGGGGTCGGACTAATGACCTTGAAAGGTACCTCAATGATTTGCATAGTATAGAAGCAAAAACATTAACGAAACAACGCAGAGCGAGTGATATGCTCTGAATGAATTAGCTGTCTATGACAGCTCTTTAGAATTGACATACATGCAGTACTTAAGTAAAAAGAAATACATGCTAATAAAAACATGTGGAGCATTCATATTACACATTAGGTCACTTCGTGCTGAACAACGCAGTAAAATCATGTGCCCTTTGCACTTTTTCTCGTGAATTTGTCTTTCCCCTCAATTTCTGGCGAAATCCAAGATACCTTAAAAATTTAAAGGTTTAACTCTATTGCTTTTTCTTTTACAATAGCATTCAGTTTTTTACACCTTTTTTTGAAGTGTTCTTTAGGTGCTGAAGCATTCCCAATGTGTCTTCTTCAACAGAGGTGAACAACCAGTGTCGTGTATGGAAGCAAGTCATTCTCAGCCAAAACATTGAACACATTGGAATTCGTTCTTGCACCTTTTTACGAATTTCTATGTAAGAAATTTTCCGGCTTTCTATCGTGCTGCTCTTGTGGAGGATAGTGAATTATTGCTTAAATGGACTGAGGTGACGGGGAATTACTGAAGATGAGAAATAAACTGTCGTTGGCAGGAGATCCCCTAGAGAACAGAAGCCAGCAGATGCCTCGAATGGCAAAATCTATCACATTTAACGAGTCCGAATCGTCATTGGTCAGAAAAAAAAAACATTAAGAAACAAAAAAGAAACCTCAAACCAGCGATGGATCAAGGTCCTTCTGCTCGAGTAAAATAATGGTGAGGAAAATAAACTAGATGGAGACAAATTACACACAATCTTATTCGCATCGATTCCACTTCACGAGAAAGCTTTTCCAAACAGTTCGTCTTACTACCTTTAAGCGACTAAAATTTCATTGCTAGAACAATTAGGATTACTGTAAATCCACAGAAACATCGGATTTGGTGGCGAGTACAGTTTGTTTATTATCGAGTGTTGTAAGGGATTTTCTAAGAGTATAGTTTCTTGAGTACAAGTTAATTCACCTGAGGAACTCCTCCGACAAACACGTCCGAATTTTTGAGGATATCACCGAAAATGAAGCTTCTCTGATTGAGAATTTTGAACACTAAGGACGCATCCAGCTCTAATTTCACATTTTCCCATGACTGAAAAAAGGACAACGTATTGAGGCGAATTCAAGTATAATTAACTTCAATCTCTTCAATAAAAAAGTTTTTGCCGACTAAAATTGTAAAATGTCTTTATTAAGATGTTTTTCTGGTTCACGCTATGACACTTTTAAACCGCAGTCCTCATTGTTCGATCCAGGAACTTTTTCCACTCATCGAAGACAATGGCAAACGAAGGTTTGCACTTGTTCTAAGCATTTCCTTAGTAATAGAAACTCCACTTCTGCCATACTTTTTAAAAGTGTGAATAACCAGATCGACTACAAATGTTTTTAACTACTAAATTGTTGATTAGGTTATAAACAGGTTAAGAAAAAAGGAAAAAGCTCTCGGCGTTGATCAATACCTGAGGGATGCGACATGCATTCAACTTCATTAAGCATCGTTGGAGGTGACTGAATGTATATCTGGCCTTTACAATGACTCGCGATGGCCTACCGATGTGTCGAGCCACCGCTGCTATCCTCCCAGATAAGTCTGCTACCAACTTGCCAACCCCAGAGGGATGGAGTGCTTTATGGGCCATGGGCGTGGGGACCGATTCCACGTGTGTGTTGCAGGTGCCTCCGACGACTGCACCATAAATAGATTATTCGAAAGAAATTGGGAAAAAACTGGATTCCATTTTCCACTTTTGAGACCTGACATCAAATACTATACGTATTACAGCACAATATTCATGCAGTTTGTTGGCCCATATCTGACATTGACGAAAGTCTTTGGATTTTCGTGTTGCTTCGGCTAGTACTTGAGTACTTTATCTTCGTTATGAACATCGTTGAATGTTGATCGACTTGATTCCTTCATAAATCCTAGAATAGCTTTACCACAGCGTTCCGAAATCTTCACCACTAGGAAAGTCATAGGCCCTCGTGGATTGGGAAGAGGGCCTCTGAAACCCATCTGCTACTGATTTGCAGATTCTGGGGGGATGGAAGGTTTGGGATCCCGCAACGTGCTTAAACTCACATACAATGCGTCTATTATTGAATGTCATCTCTAACTATCTCGATTCTTCTGCTTTTTTAGAGGCACATCCATATTCAAATGGCTACACAATAAAACGATGCCGCAGGCTAAATAAATAAACCATGCTTTTCCTTTACTCTCCTCTCATTATTCATTTACAAAAAAAGAGTGTGAGAGAAACACATTTCGAGTTGCTTCAAGGTGGCTAGAAAAAATGAAACCAGGACGGAACAACTTAACATTCCTCGGAGAAAATCTTCGGAAAGTGAATATAGATCAGTCTCAGCGTCGCTAAGTTTAGATAAAAGACATGCCGTTAAACGATCATGCTAGCTCCGATTACATGCTTTTTAGTTTGATTTCCACCCAACACATTATGATGTCGACTAGTTGGTAACCACATCTTCCACAGCATCTGTATAGAACAATATTGCTTGATTTGGTAAGAGGAAAGGTTAGATCTTAACAAAATTAACATTAACAGCATACAAAACCCATAAAGGCAGGAGATTTTGAAGTTAGAGTTTTGATCCTACTACAGGAATCAAAAGGAGATTCGAGAAATTTTGAACCGATTCTATAACTTCCAAGATCAACTTTCGCTCGTTTTTACTTAATGAAATCTCTCAGTGACACAAAGGTAGAGGGGTGACAAGATGTCTCATACCGTCAAGACTTTCAATGCGATTTTGGAAACATACTCAACTGGGCCAATCTTTTTCTTAGCGAGTTGTCATGTCAACTTCAGAAATTTTTCTCAGTTGGCACCAAACAATTCCAGGATATATCTTAGGATGACACTCTCTCAGAAGTGTCATTGATTTTCATTAGCAAAAAAGCAGAATCAAGCACAGATTTAGACGAATTCACATTTTGTAAAGATAACCCGCTTTTATTTTATCCATCTATTTGGCCCAATTTCACATAAAGTTGAAATCGCTATACTTCTTTTATTTGGCTCATTACTTTCGGCCATCATCAACAAAGGTTCATAGTTTTGCATGTGGATTTGGCTATCTATTTAAGAACTTTTTCTTCTTCACAAATGTTGTTGTTTTTTGGTTAAGCGTCATTCTTCCTTGAATCCTGGGATAGCTTCACCAGCACGAACCCAGGTCTTCACTATAGGCACTCGTCAGCTTTTTTGAAGCAGAGACTTTTCCCAGAGAAATCTGCTACCGATTCATATATCCTGGAGCGATAACAGGCTTCATTGGAACAAGGTTTGTTCGAATCAGACACCATGCATGTACTCTTGCATTCCACAGCATCTTTAACTACTGCGATCCACGCGTTATATTTGAAAGCGCCCTCTTTGGTAGCTCAATAATCCACCAGGCTTTTCATTATTGAAATGTCAGTAAACTAACTTTTTGTAGAATCCCTAGTGTCGCCTATTCCAATAATAGTGCTTTTCCAGAAGACGCGCCCTCCAGGAATAGTCGATGTGTTTGACAAATTGACTTGAAAGTTAATATTTCCTCCTTATTCCATGTTACTTTATTTTGCCCAATATACCGTCATTGAATAGGTAAAATCAGAACAGAGTTATAGAAAAGAATAAAGGAAGAAAAGCTATTGTACCTGAAAAAGCGCCAACGAATGCCACCGATTGTCGTCCACACGAACCTCCTCGATTCGGATCGTGTTCACGAGCCTTCGTGAGCCAAAATCGTTCGCGTTGTCTCCAAGTCTGTAAAACAACTTCTTATCTACGAAACGAAACGCAGATCCATCAAATGAATTCTTTCCGAAGAGATGATGACTGAAGATTTAAGCTTCGACAAATAGTACCAAACGTGTCACTTCAACGTGAAACTCATTGCCGCGTCTTTTTTCCGGAAGTTGTATTCATGGGTTCTAATTTTTGGCTTCCCTTTAAAGTATAAAGAACATAACATAATTATATTGTGCATTAATCGACCATATGTGACTCTGAACAGCTGTTCCTCAGTGGAAGGCACTTTGTAAACGGCTCTGAAGAAGGTGATGCTGCCGAAACGTTAGCCTTAACGGAATAGGGAATAAGGTAACACCTCGTGTTTGATCAACAAGAATATCGAAAACTATAAAGGATAAAAACGACAAAACTCTCGGTGTTGATCAATTCCTGAGGCATGCGTCATGCATTCGACTTCATTAAGCATCGTTTGGAGTTGGTTGAATGCAGATCTGGTGACTTTACAATGACTCGCGGTGGCCAGTGGATGTATCGAGCCAGTGCTGCTATCCTTTCAGACAAGTCTGATACCAATTCGCCGACCCCGGAGGGAAGGAGGGCTTGGTGGACCATGGGCGCGGGGATTGATTCCACGCGTGTGTTGCAAGGCGCCTGCGACCACTGCGTCACACGCACCCTTATCGAGAACTATAATGAAGATAATTTTGTTTCACTATGCAAAGCCTGTATAAATATAATACAAGCACTGTAACGGTACCTAGAAAAGCAATTCAACATATGAACTTGGAATTATCTATGAATTGTTCTCTATAAACTGACATAAAAGAAATTCATAACGATGGAGGAATTTCTCAAACCCTTTGAAATTCTTATTAGCAAATCTCCAAGGTCATTCAGTTAATCTGATGAGCCATAAACCAGGTGCTATAGCCAGTTGCGATAGAAACGTAACCAAAAAAGCTATAGAAATGAATGTGTCTTCCTTTTTAGAGGTCTTAACTCATCTCGATACCTTATTTCTGAAGTAGAACACTCGGTTTCGTATAAGAGGGACGTACTTATGCAAGAAAAGAAGCGTCGCACTAACCATAAAATATTCCGAACAGCTATATTTAGTTTTCCCTCAGGAGTAATTTTATAAAGTAAATAGCGAAGATAATGCTGGCTTGAAATAACTGATCATGCGTGTACAAAGTTGATACACCCCAATTTGATAGAATTTTGCGTAAGACAAATCTAGTTCATGTTCGAAAGGAAAACGACTAGTTCGGTCCTAAACACTGGATCTATTTCGCCACATTGCGTATGTAGCAAACATTGTCTTCCTATTTCAAGAAACGAATGTCGAAACCTTCATGAAGAGCATCTTATTGGGAGGCTATAAAAACGCCATTGATGGGTGAGGCACAAAATTATGATAGGAATAGAGAAACACATTCACTCAAGGATCTGGCGTAAACCATGAAGAAAGAACACGCTAGTAAAAGAACGACAAACCGAAAATCTAGTTGGATTCGTCCATCTGAGATGCTGATCGAGTAAAAATTGCCGTTGACGGCACCGTCGTCCGTATACAGCAAAAGTCCATGCGATTGTTTTGTTTTGAATTCGAACGAGAGCGAATTCTCGAAAGAATGAACCCATTTCGGGTACCTAAAACCAAAATTTGTACTTTGCTCTTTACTTGATCTTGCACGTCCAAAAAGGTAAGAAAAACAATAAGGAAGGACAAAAAGTTGAAAATATCAAGGTCAAAAGTCAAAAAGCTGTTTGACCTTTTCTAAGCCTAAAGAGAAATCCTTCAAGAAAACTTTGAGTATTTATCAAATATTTTTTTGTACTTTTAATCGATCCTTTTTCACATCCACTGTGCGCATCATAGCACTTCTTGCATTCGATTCGTTTTCTCGCATCCACAAAGGTCATCGAACATTTCGCGTGTACGCTTGCCAGCGGCTAGAGGATTTTCGTCTTGCTTGTGAATGTCGTTGAATAATCGTCAAGCCGACTTTTCCTGGAGTCCTGGGATAGTGGAGCTAGAACGTCCCCTTTTGAATGGCAGGGTGTGAAGTGTTACCAGACAAGTCTGCTAATCAATTTTCTGATCCCGAAACGGCAACACGTTTGGTGAGCCCGGGGCATGCCGAACCACCACCTGCTCGCAATGAACGGGGTTAATACCACTGCACTAAAACAAACGAGAAGAGAATTTATTTTTTTGGAAAGGCCAGAAACAATTGATAAACTTCAATGAATACTTCTAAAGTATTTTGGAAGACTGTTTAGTTCGAACGAGTTTACTTTGTTCACTCCACTTCACCAACCTGGCGTAGGAGTTTGGAGCTCCGGAGAGAATAATTGTGGCTACCGAATGGACATCAATGAATGTGAGGGTGACGGCTAGCAAGCCGCCAGTATCGTAGTAGACCATCATTTGTAGGGAGACATAAATCTGAGAAACGAAAACCCTAAAACTGCACAAAACGATCGACAATCAATTAAAGTTATGAGAACACAAGAATGAAGCATAAGATTCGTCATCTAATAAGAAACACTGTATTTTTGAAGAAATTCGAAACTTCTTATGAAAAAGTTAACATAATGAAAAAGGACCAGGATAAGACGAAGTATCACTGTGCAGAGAAGCTGTAGATTAGGTTGAAATGTTCTTTGAAAAGGTAGAAAACTGAGCCGAAGTGTCTGCAACAAGTTGGAAAAGACGAAGACCTTCGGGAATATGTGAAAAAAGGAAGCGACGAATTTAGAGAACCTATTCGGTGTGCCCTAAATTTGTATTCAAAAAAGAACATACATATATAGCTAAGTAATAGCCTTAAAAACGCATAATAAGAAAGGTTAGCGTGTTTAATTTCACGTTTCAGCTGCTATTCTTCCAAAGGTCACGATTTCTTTCGCCACGAACCCATCGAGCAACCAACCAAAATGTTCGTTGAAAGTCTTCAAAAAAAAAGAACAGGACAGAGGAGCGCATGATGAAATGCTAAGCCTGACATCATCAAATGACAAATCATCTTCTGATGACGTCCTTCCTGATAGGCTCTAATTAGTCTGAGGACAACCTCAGCACACACGAAGGAATCAGCGGGTGAATTGAATTTTTTACGGTGTTGGAAGGGTAAAACGTCTACCAGTTCGCCGAGATATTCATCTCCACCATTTAAACTCTTTTACAGCAGCAGGTAATTGGGCGCTGTTCCAGAAGGAGCGCTCCCATTTCCACGGGGTCGCTCGGAGACTGAATCTCTTGAACGATGCCGTAAAGGAGCGCGCATTGCTGGACAGTGGTTTTTTCGGTAGAAGACGGAAAGTGCGCTTCCTACATAAACCTTTCCGGAAGAAAAAACAGCTTGCGAACATGGTATAATTTTTAACTGAAGCGCTCTTCTAAGTAAGATTAAAAAAGAACTCTGCATAGTAGAAAAGTACCACCACTGTAGGTTTGATCGAAGCTTTTTCTCATTGAAATCCTTAGCGTTTAGTTGCAATTTTCATGGAATTTTAAAATAATGATTTAAAAAATAGTGACAATACAAGGTGAATACATCAACCACAATGAGATCCAAAAACAAAGAGCACAATTTAAAAAGTCGATGAGGACTATACAAAAAGCGTATGAAGTAAAATAATACCTGTAATGTTGAGATATTTGCAAAACTCCAGCCCGAAGGCGTATGCGGAGGGGAACGAACGCGCTATTGTTCTTTCCGGGGAGTAACCCGTTCACCACCACACCATGCGGGTCTTTGGTTTCGCCTGTCTCTCAGCTAGTTCTATCGATCACTTGCCACCAGCAATTACCAGTTAACGGGATTGATCCGGGAGCCCAATCGCCATTGAACCCAGTTAAGCTGAGGCTTAGTTATAATCACAATCTTAACCTTTCTATTTACTGCCTATTTTTCTTAATGGCAGGGTATGTTGCGAAATATAACTATTATAATGCTGAGATATTTGCAATATATCTCAGCATTACAGAAGTTATATTACGCAACATACCCTGCCGTTAAGAAAAATAGGCAGTAAATGAAAAGGTTAAGATTAAAATATCACCGTTTTTCACTAAAAAATCTTCCTGCTCTCTTTGATGACAGATTTATAATTACAAGAAAAGTTTAATATCACAATTCCTTTCATTCCCCTAACGGTTTACCGCCTCATCGTGGCCGCCAGGCGTTCCTTACTGTAGAGCTGCTATGTACAGCGGGTAGATTCATCTACCCAACAAGGTCTCCCAAGCTAAGAAGGAGTTCGGTATTTCCATCAGGAAATCCAGCTAAAAGTAAACTAATACCAGGATCCGCAACCGTCCTGGTATCAAAGTCGCTTAGTGGCAAATCTCCCTCCGATCCACAAGGGCTGAAACTGCTTGTGGTGGGGACGACCTGAGGCACAATATGGCCAGGCTGTCCTCCGGACACCGGGGAGCCACTCCAGAAAACAATGACTAAACCAGCAAATTTCCGGAGAATGGGAATTATGCTAGGACCCGCACAATCAGTGAAAAACGGGTCATGTAAGTATCCGAGTAAGTAATTCATTTCGTTTTTTCGCATGCTTTGCGTCTGTATAAGAAGACAATCTGCAAACAAGCTAAAATAAAAAGGAAAACGTAGTAAAGTGATTGAGAAAGTGCCATTTCTACAAGGATCACTAATTTTCGAAACCATCGGTTGGAAAGCGATTTGATGGAAAGCGATGGCTTCAAGTGATCAAAGTGGTATGAGCTCCAATTATTTCACTTACAGCAACGCCATTTGGTTACGAATGGCAAGCCTAGCCTCTTTAAACAAGTCTGCTAGTCACAGTAAAACTGATTAAAGTAGTTACTAGTGTTATAAGTAGTACCTTTAGAAAAGTGAACAGGAGTGCGTAACTTCGGAGCAGTTCAAACTAATCTCGTCATAGAAAGCAATTGTGGCTGTGAAGGTCGAACTGGAAATCGGAACTTATGTGCTGTCTTTCGAATTCAAAAGAGATCAAATATGGCGGACAATGAAGACTTGGTGGATGCGAATAAGTGACGGACTTAGCCTGAGTTTATAGCGCCGTTTCCCACCAAATACGTGTAGTCATCAATCATTCGGTGGAAGAATAATGGAGAAATAAGAGCAACAAAGGCAGAACAAACACCAGCATGCCGAATCATCCATTCAGCATTTGGGCCGAAACAATGAACATTCTGTAGTGGTGAATTGAAATTCGTCAGAAAGCGATAAGTGAAAAGTCCACGTGTTATGAATAAAACAAAATAATCGACGATAAACTGGTCAAACGAATAAACTGCTTGAACTCAAGGGCTCATTAGAAATCAGTTTGAATTTCTTCTTGATATTTCGATGAGTGAGCACTTGTACGATTAAAAAGTAGTCGCGAATCGTAGTAATTGGTCGATTAGAAATGTAACTGCGAAACTCTAGAGCTAATTGGCAGGAATGCGTATGAAGAATTTCAGCTGAGAAACGGTGGGTGTTTGGAAGAACACTACGGAAAAATTAAGGAATGAAGGTCGAAAATCTGAGAAAGAAAGCCATATGGCATTCACACTGTGCTGTGATATATTTGTTCCTTAAATTTGAATATCAACGCGGAAAAAAAGCAGATGCTTGACTTTACAAAATGCCATCCAGGGAAAGAACGCTTTTTCGAACAATGGATTTTCAGTTTTCACTTCAATGGAAACATGAAGTTCTATGGATGACAACATTATACACAAGTTGTATCTGTTCTACGTATGTAAGGATAGAGAGGAAAATTTCCGACCACCCTTATCGGATTGTCAAACTAGTGACCATGTGAGTCTGACCTCATAGAGATGTATTGGATTCTACCATGAGAAGTTTACTAAATCGAAAACGGTATTAGTAGATCACAAAAAAGCGCCATTAAAGGTTAAAAAATGCTTCTGCGTTTCAACATACGTACCGCAGTGGTTAGACGCACCCAACAATACACAAATGCTCACTTAATTTGGTTCAACCCCGCGTCGCAGGATGAGACCGCACTCTATCCAGGGTGAACAAGTTAGCGCCAGACCTTTCTGGGAGGATGGAAAGAGTGATGTATCGATAGGTCGCGTAAGTCGATGTTGGCATCTGGAAAAGGGCAAGCCAACGCTGTACAGTCACCTTACTTCTGCTTTAAACGAAGACCTCACTGCAGTTCTTTCGAGAAAATACTTAATGAGCGCCTCTTGTTTGCACAACTTCTTTCATTTCTTTTAAACAAATTTCTTCAAGACCGATTAGGAAACTGTTAGGTACTAGCTCATAGCTACACAATTTCTCATTCTTCGGCATAAGGTTGCAAGCTACTTCTCGTCCTTTTTTTTTGTATTATCAATTAGTTCAGAACCAGGAAGATAGAAACAGGCTTTACTTGTTTACATGTTTCACTGTTAAGTTCATTGCTGTTAAGACTGCTGAAAGTGCTAATAACAAAATAAAGAAAGTGAAACTCTTTTCGACAAAAGCAAGATGAGCAGCTGTATTGTTGCATTGCTCAACCAACACGAGTTGTTATAAAGAAAAACATTTTGGACTCGGATCGTCGACTCTGAGAAAGACGAAGAGTCAGAACTTTAGCCGAATAAAGATTGTATATCAACCTTGTGTAAGCTTATCAAAGAAAAGAAAAAGCATTTATTCGGCCAACGTTTTGGCTCATTTGTCTTCTTCAGAGCCGCAGCACCTCGAACGCCTCGCGCTCATCCGTTCATTCTTCCGATGTGGGTTTTCGTTGTCGCGTTAAATGGAAACCTGCGGATGGACCACAGCTCGAATGAAGAATTAATCTCTCCAGGTAATGCCTTTTTATATAGGATGGTTCTTGAGAGATTGTGAAAATAAAAAAGGAGAATGAAAACAGAAAGGAACAGAAAAATGAGTCACATTCCACCGTCAAATAGCTGCCACGTCTACATTTTCTTTATTAATTTCAGGAATGGTTTGAGAGCACGGAATATCCATTATAGCTGGAAAAAAGTGTGCCCAGTCATTGAAGGCTTCTTGGGTGTGTTAAATTCTGTATGCAACACGAAACGTTGGGAGCGTTAGCAATGAATTATTTTCGTGAGGAGAATTCCCATAAAATTTCTGGCAAAGCAATCCAATCATTTTCCAAGAATTTGGAACAGAGACATGTGGGATTCGATGTTTTTTCAGATACTGTAATTGAAATGGAAATGTAGACATATAGCGTAAACGTGAACTACTAGTTTTCTGTAACTCATTACCTCCGTTGATTGCTGAGTGATTCGTGTGGATCGTGTGGAGGTCATCACAGTCGTTGTTCACATTTGCCACAAGCTTCATTGAAAGGTCTTGATATCGGTTGTGTGGTCATTTGTTGATGTATTTGTAGCAGCAACAGAAAGAACTCAAATTTTCACCAAATACGGCTGACAAGGAAATCTTT